AGAGAGATGACAGGTTTGCTTTGTTAATTAGATAGTAAAACAGATTGCTTTGTAACAAATTAATAATGATTATGATGATGACTTCTTCGGAAATTAATTTCAATTAATCAACAGATTATAGGATTAAAATGTATTCTTTTATATGTTCCTTAGATGTCTATGGCTTCTATGTCTTAGCCTATATATAAATTAAATCCAGATTCTTTTGAATTTTTTATTACCATATTCAATAATAACTTTTAAGATTTGATGACATTCACAAAAATCATACATTTTTAAGCACATATAAAATTCAAATACAATAAGAGGTTTTAAGCACATTTTGACATTACAAAAATCAGACATTCTTTTCAATTCAGCATCTAATATTGTTTCATTTTTTGTCCGCTGGGGTTTTTTTAACTAGAGTGGGGCTTTTGTCAGCCATTCATATAAATCATGTTGGTTATTTAATAATTTTGGTGCTTATTGTATGATATCATCATACATCATGATATTATCGTTTGTCAATACGTCAGTATTAACGAGTGTCATTCAAATAATGAAAAGCGCCAAAAAGCTACTAATAGCTGATTCCAATAGAGCCATAGTCAATAAAATAGCGGCTACAGCTATTCTAACCGCCCTAATATACAAGAGCGCTAAAATAGCGGCTATTAGCTAATATTAATAAAATGACCACAACCATACCACGGGAAAACGCTAAAATAGCGGCTACAGCTATTCTAACCAGACTATTTTAGAAAAACTCTCAAATAGCGGCTACAGCTATTCTAACTGGACTATTTTAGAAAAACTCTCAAATAGCGGCTACAGCTAGTCTAACCAGGCTATTTTAGAAAAGGGCTAAATTAGCGCATACAGCTATTCTAACTGGACTATTTTAGAAAAACTCTCAAATAGCGGCTATGGCTATTCTAACCAGGCTATTTTAGAAAAGGGCTAAATTAGCGCATACAGCTATTCTAACTGGACTATTTTAGAAAAACTCTCAAATAGCGGCTATGGCTATTCTAACCAGGCTATTTTAGAAAAAGGGCTAAAATAGCGCCTACAGCTATTCTAACCAGGCTATTTTAGAAAAACTCTAAAATAGCAGCTACAGCTATTCTAACCAGGCTATTTTAGAAAAACTCTAAAATAGCAGCTACAGCTATTCTAACCAGGCTATTTTAGAAAAACTCTAAAATAGCGGCTATTAGCCGGTTTCAATACAGTCATAGTCAATCGCTAAAATAGAGTTATTAGAATAGCTGTAGCCGCTATTTTAGCGCTTTGCTACAATAGAGTTATTAGAATATATGTAGCCGCTATTTTAGCGTTTTGCTACAATAGAGTTATTAGAATATATGTAGCCGCTATTTTAGCGCTTTGCTACAATAGAGTTATTAGAATATATGTAGCCGCTATTTTAGCGCTTTGCTACAATAGAGTTATTAGAATATATGTAGCCGCTATTTTAGCGTTTTGCTACAATAGAGTTATTAGAATAGCTGTAGCCGCTATTTTAGCGCTTTGCTACAATAGAGTTATTAGAATATATGTAGCCGCTATTTTAGCGCTTTGCTACAATAGAGTTATTAGAATAGCTGTAGCCGCTATTTTAGCGCTTTGCTACAATAG